TAAAATGTACTATCATCAATAAGTAAAACACCCAATTCTAAAAGTAATTTAGAATCACATCTTTATATAATCATCTCTGATCTGTAAAGAAAATCAAAATATTCAAAGAAAGGCCAACAAATCAATCCTCAATAAATTAGTTAATTAAATTTTTATGCATATTAATTCTATTAACAATCACCTTTTATTGTCTTGCACCCCCTAAAACACAAAATTTTAAGTTATAAATCTTAAAAGACCACAAAGGTGTTTACCAAAGTGAAAGAGTAATCAGCAAAAAAAAAAAAAAAAGCAACTTCTTTTAAAAATTAACTATTTCCTTCTTATATAAAACCCTAGCTTTGTTTTAAGATTTTTTTGCCTTTAAAATGATTATTTAGTCACAAGGAAAGTGTGTTTCAAAGCCCCCAAAAAATGGATGTACAGCAACCAGATCTTCAGAAAGGGGACACACACACACACACACACACGTATATATATATATATATATATATATATATATATATACACACACACATATATATAAATAAAATAAACTAAAAAACACAAGAATAATTTTCCAAGATTTTATTACAAAAATACATGTTTTTAGTTTTAAGACTAATCTAACCATAAGACAAACATAAAATGAAAAGTAAAATTCCTCACAAAACCTTGCCTATTCACAACTGCCCTTCTCCATCTTTTCTCCACTATTCAAAGATTATATAACCTTTCAAGACATGTTTACCCATCTATATGACCTCTTTTTTGTTTTAAAAGGAAATTGCAGCATACTATATGAACAATTGGCTTGTTTTTAAACAAAAATATTCAGATCACCTTTTCTTGTTAGTACATATACTAGTAAATCTACTTCACTTTTTTCGTGGTTGCATAGTATTCCACAAGTACATTTTAATTAGTTCCCTTCCAATAAGAGTAAATGATTCCAACCTTTTAGAATTGCAAACCTTACAGCAATGAGTATTGCTCATTGTACAGAACAACTTTGTGCATTAATATTAACGTATCTATAGGAAAAAAATCTTAGAAATGACTAAAAATATTGTGCCAAGCAGCAAGGAAGCAGCATCCTCTTCTCCCACCATCTTCTCAATCTATTTGAGTACTGCCTACCCATCCTGTTAGTAATGTGATAGAGAAAGATAATATGTTATTTTTACTTGTGTTTCTTTACAAGTGGCTCAGTGGATAGAGCATAAGCCTGCGGACTGAAGGGTCCCAGGTTCAATTCCAGACTGAAAGGTCCCAGGTTCAATTCCAGTCAAGGGCATGTACCTTGGTTTCGGGCACATCCCCAAATAGGGGGTGTGCAAGAGGCAGCTGATCGATGATTCTCTCTCATCGATGTTTCTAACTCTCTATCCTTCTCTCTTCCTCTCTATAAAAAAATCAATGAAATATATTAAAAGAGAGAGAGAGTGAAGATGAGTTATGCTCAATCATGTGCATTTCTTTGTGAATGTGTTACCCATTTTTTTAACCAATTTTTTTGGAGTTCTCTGCCAGCGTTTGGTGGAGCATACTACAAATATTTGCCACATTTAGCTGTTTTAGTCCAGCAGGAAATTTTTACATATTTTTATGCAATCGGATTTATTCTCCCTTATAATTAAAATTTTAGGCCATATTAGCTAAGTCTTTCCCAGGCAAAATTTTGGGGAATTTTTTTTTTAAATATATTTTATGATTTTTTTACAGAGAGGAAGGGAGAGAGGAAAAGAGTTAGAAACATCGATGAGAGAGAATCATCGATCAGCTGCCTTCTGAACATCCCCCACTGGGGACGTGCCCGCAACCAATGCACATGCCCTTGACCGGAATCGAACCCTGGACCTTTCAGTCCCCAAGCCAACGCTCTATCCATTGAGCCAACCTGGTCTCAGCTTGGGGAAATTTTTTAATGTTACTTCTAAGTCATTGCTTAAGTGATATTGATATTTACATATAAGTTCTAATATATCATTATTTAACAAAAATAAGTCAACTTCACTTAGCTAATGTAATGGAGAGCTCTACTTACAGCTACCACACTAAAAGTGTACTTTTGTTCTTTAAAGGTCTTCATAAAAATCTAAGAGTTGAAAAATAACGAGCAAGTATGTTCAATTCCTAGGATGTCTACATTCTTTGCCCCCCAATACTTAATTTTCAAAAGTGTAAATGTAAAAAATAAAGTCCAACAACTATATTTCCCTATTGTAATTATAATTTAGTCATTTTTACAAAAGTCAATAAGTAAATACTTCTATACAAACAAACTTGTAATTTTGCAATACCAGAAAATCGCTTATGATGAGATCAATGCTGTACTCTGTTATTTCATTTCAGGTCCTGAAGTGAAAGAGAGTTCAACCTCTCAAAATTATAAAATAAACCTCTTGAGTTAGTATTCCAGTTCAAACCACCACTGAGCCAAATTAGATGGTTAATGTGGCTACTCTCTCCATTCTCCAACAAAAACGGAAGGAAGGAAGGGAGGAAGGGAGGGAGGGAGGGAGGGAGGGAAGGGAGGGAGGGAAAAATTCTGGTCATAAGTTTTCTATCTCAGTGCCAGCTGCCAGGCATTTAACAACCTTCCATCTCTAAGCTGACTGGCACAACGAGTAGTACAACTTGGAAGTTAAGAAAATTGGCAGAACTCAGAGGGGGGAATTTTTTTCCCACAATTTCTGCAACACTAATTTAGCACGTATGTGTTTCTAAAGGGGTGGTCAATTCTTCAAAACTATAAGAAGCTGCATACTACTGACTTCACATGAACCAATGCCAACTCCATTCAGTGGTCTCCTTCCCCTTGGGAGACTATTCAAAAAGTTAGTATTTTCTTTTACAACTCGCCCAGGCCTCATCATTGATGAAAGCAGGCAAAGCCCATGCTGTGTGTCTGTCTCCTAGAGAAGATTGCATCTTTTATTTATCACTCCTTGGCTTTATTTTCACAGTGAATTCCTGGCTTAAATGCAATCAGCCAAGAAACCCTCCCTATGTGCTCTCCTGTCATTCCTCATTGCTTGCAAGCAGAATCAAGCACAGAAGGGGAGAAAGAAAGAAATAAAAAGAAGAAAACTTAACGTTGCCAACCAAGTCATAAAAATTCTCAAACTCCAGTTAGTTATATTAAGAATCCATAGATACCTTCAATCCGTTTCAACCTGGCAGCAGGAAGGGGGGGAGGAGGACACCAAAAACTTGAAAGTATGTTAATTGAGTTAAAAAAAAAAAAAAAAGATGGATGGATGGATGGATGGATGGATGGATGGATGGATGGATGGATGGATGGATGGGTAGCCTCAAAAGTTGAACCCCCCTCTGACAGAAGGACAGGGTGCTGAAAAGGCAGCACTAGGGGATGCCTTCGGAAATAATGACCATGCAGAAAATCACGTTTGCAGGTTGCATTAGAATTCAAATTAAGCAGACAGAATTAACACAAATCTGAATTCTCTCTTGGAGCCCCTATCGACCCCCACCGAACCCCCAAAGACAAGAATAAAAGAAACTGACTACGGAAAAAAAATAATTAAAAATAAGAGACAGCGATGCTTCCAAACCTCTCCCCATGCATTGGGTGCCCGGTTCACCACTACAATTGAAAGTGCACAGCAATAGGGGACGGAGTAGGAGAAAATACGCCGTTTGCAATCAGGAGAGAAATATGGGGAGGAGGGCTCACTACAGCATTGTTCTTCTCAGTCGGCTCCCACATCCCCCTCACTATGGCTGAGACAGATATTGGCCAGAAAAAGAAAAAGAAAGAAAGAAAAAAAAAAAACACTGAGGGGGCGGGAGGGCGGCAGGGGAGCTTTTAAACTCCGCATCTGAGGAAACTCTCCCGGCGCCTCGGAGAAAGGAGGGCTGTGCGGCTTTAAACCACAAGCGCCCCTCGTGCCTTTGTCAAACACCTTGTACTTTACGAGCCCTGAGAAGAAATAGAGACTCTTTTGTTTGGTTTCCCCTTCTCGGAAGGTGACACAAAACCGAAAGGGGCACAGATACACCCGAAAACGAGAACAAAGTGCGGGGCCGCGCCGGGAGGGACGCGGGGCCCCCCGGGCTCGGGCTGCAGCGCCCGCCGGCCGAGCTCGGAGCCCGGAGCCGCTCCCGCTCGCACCGGGCGCGACCCCCGAACTCGGGCGGCAACAGCCCGGGGCCCCGCCGCGGCCCCGGAGAAAAGAGGAGGCACGAGCCGCTCCTCCCCGGACCCGCGCCATTGCATTCGGGGTGGGTGAGATGCCCCCTCAGGAGAGAGGTTCCCTCAGGAGAGGGGGGCCCAGCCGTCCCCGTCCCCGTCCCCCTCCGGCGCTGCTCGGAGCCCGGGGCGCGGGGGAGGGACAGACATTTAAATCCCCGGCGGCCCCGGAGCGCGCCCCGCCGGACCGGACGCCGCAGCCCGTCGAAGCCCCGTGAGGAGCGGCGGCGAGGAGCACCGCCGTGCGCTCCCTCCCCCATGAGCGGAGGGGCGGGGGGTGGGGGGGGGAGAAGAGAAAGAAAGAGGGCGAACGACGGGCGAGGGGAGCGCGGAGGCACCGCGGAGCGCGCGGCCGGCCACCGGCCCGGCCCGGCCCGGCCGGCATTGTCTGCGCCGCCCGCGCCCCCTCCCCCGCCCCGCACGGCCCCGCCGCACACCCGGGCCGGCCGGCCGCGCCTTTGTCCACATCCGCCCCCCAACGAGGCGATCAGCCCTCGGGGACGTGCTCCCCGGGAGGAGGGCGCCCGGCACCCACCCCGCCGCCGACCCCGCCGCGGGCAGCGTCCTGCTGATTCATTTCCCACTCGCACCGGCCCGTCCGGGGACACGGGGGGCGGGGAGGGAGGGGCGGGAGGAAACGGGCGCTCCGCTCCGCTCCGGTCCCGTGAGGGCACCGGGCAGGGTGCGGGCGCAAGCCGGACCGGAGGGCTGGCTCCGAGGGGAGAGGGGAGCGGGCAGGCGCCCCGCCCCCGGGGGCCTGACGAGTGGACAGACGGCCCCGCGGCTGCCCGTGCCCGTGACTCACCGACTTGCAGGACGTTGTCGACGCAGCCGCTCTCCAGCAGCGCGATGCCCCGGCGGAAGGGCAGCCGCGTCTCGTCGCCGCCGTCCGCCGTCCCGGCCGCCCCCACCGACGGGGCCCCGGCTCCTCCGGCTCCCGAGGCGGCGGCTGAGGTGGCTGCGGGCGAAGACGAGGAGCTGCCGCTGCCCGCGCCGCCGCCGCCGCCGCCGCCCGCGCCGCCGGCGGGGCCGCCGCTGTCGTCGCCGGGGCCGCCCGCGGCGCCGCTGCCCGTGTTAAAGGACGAGTACATGCAGATCTCCCGCTCGCTGCGGGGGAAGGACCAGTAGACGATGCGGCGCTGCACCGGCTCCGGGATGCGCTCGAAGCGCTCTTCCACGCGCTGGAACGGCCACTTCTCCGCCACCTTGCGCGCCGCGATGTCCAGCAGCGACTCGGGGCTCTGGGTCTTGCCCGGCGGCAGCAAGCCCAGCGCCGCGCCGCCCCCGCACGCCGCCGCCGCAGCCGTTCCGCCCGCCCGCGGGCCCGGCCGGCAGGCAGAGCTGTAGCCGCCACCCGCTCCGCCGCCGCCGCCGCTGCTGCCCCCGCCGCCGCCGCCGCCGCCCGGCCGGCAGCACAGCCGTTTTGCGGGAGGAGGCTGCTGTCCGCGCTCCGCCATGACCGCGACGCTTCTAACCCGACAGCGGAAGTGCCGGGACCCTATAAACGGCACAAGGAAGCGCGACACGCACACGCCGCCGCGACGCCACGCTGCCATCTAGGGCCCGCCGCTCCTTGTATGGGCCCAAGGGGCGGGGCCGTCATCGTGACGTCAAGGACGAGGCGGCGCAGCGATTGGAGGACCTGGGGCAGGGGGTTGGGCTATGCAAATCGCTGGGCTCAAACATAAATAGAGCACTCGGCCGACACGGGGGTGGCGGGGGTGGCGGGGCTGGGTGCTAGCCGGGCGGTGAGAAATGTTAGGCTGCGGGGGGCGGGGCTCAGGTGGGATTCCCGTGGGAGGGGGCGGGCCTCCGGCCCCGGCCCGAGGTGGGTGGGTCTCTGCGCTCCCTGCTCCTCAACTTCCCTTTCCAATTCCTTACCTTCTTTTTGGAAGTCCGGCAAGTGAGGACGCGCGCCTCGTGGGTCGCAGCGGGGAGAAAACGGGAAATGGGGGCGGTGAGCCCGGGCAAAAGGTCCTGCTAAGTGGGGGGCGGGGCTCACGGGCCGAGGCCCCACCCTCCGTCAATGCATGCCCGCCGGGGGGAAAAGCCTCTGGGCGGAGGAGGCGCTTTCAAAACAAAGAAATGCGGCGTGGAGCCCAGGGGATGGGGGTGGAGAGGAAGGCGGAGGAGGTGCGGCTGTAGCCGCCCGGTTGCCTGCTTCCCCTCCAGCTAGCCCGGGGGAACTCTCCCCCCCCCCCATTCCTCCAACCCCGGGCCAGGGTTGCGGCGGACGCCGGGGAAAAGGGAGGAGGCTGCGCTCGGCGGCTGTTTTCCACTTCACTTTTGCAGACCCGGCTGGGGAAGGAGAGTGTTCGCTCCGCTGCCCCGTGTGGCTGCAGCGCACAGCGGCTCCGAGCTCCATGTCCGCTGTGTCCCGGTGGCTGGGCTGGGGGCCGAGCCAGGCAAAGTGTCCGAAACCAGGCAGAGCGCCCGGAACCTTCCCCGCCACCGGGCGACGGGCGTTCCAAGCCGGCCGTGGCAGCCCCGCCCTTGCGCTCCCCCATCCCTGCGCAGAGCCGGGGAACTTGAACTGGCTCTGGTCTCCCCCCCCACCCCCACCCCCACGGCCTCGCCGATAAAAGACACCGCTACAGACCGGGGGCTCGCGCTCGGGATGGAAGGCACCCCCGAGCCGTGGATTTAGCAATAACACACCTTTGTGAGTACGCACCCCACGGGAGCGCGCGCACACACACGCCCCTCGAGCGCGCGCGCACCACCCAGCCCGCTGCAGACACGGATCCCGGGACGCTGGGCGGCGGAGGGAGGCTGCGAGCGCGCCCCGTGCGCACTCAGCCCTGCGCCCCGTCTGGCCCGGGGCTGCGGCGAGCCAGGGCGCTCCGCTCCGGACGCCCGCCGCGCTCTCAGCAGCCCCGGCGGCGCCGGAACGCCCCGTCCCCCGGGAACGGGCGCTTTGGGGAGCAGGCAATCCGGAGCGATTGGAGAGTGCAGCTTGCTGCTGCGAGGGCGCCGGGGAAGGAGGAGAAGCGAGTCCCGGGCTGAGCCAGGAACCCTGCGGACATTGTTCTCAGCACTCCACGGAGCTCGATCCAGTCTGGGTCCAAGCCACGGACTTGATTTAGCACGTTAGAGACATCTTTACTCTTTGCCCCAGCCTTCTGTTTTTACTGTAATCCTATGCTGTCGCTATTGTAGAAGATAAACGGCATCACTTTCGCATCTTTTAAGAATATTGGTTGGCACCTCATTGCCTACATTTAAAGGAATAGAGCGCTTCCGAGTTCTTTTTCTTTCTTTTTTTTTTTTTTTCTTTTTTTCTTTTAATCGCCCACTCAGGGCCAAGGCCTGGGAGACCTTGAGCTCCAGCTCTTGGCTCTTCCCCGTGTTAGGCCTTACCAAGCCTCAGGCTGCAGGTCCCAGGGGGACAGGACACTGGCAGACTTTCCATAGCTGCCTTACTTGTTAGGAAAATTTTGGTGACATTATGTTTTTGCATATCCCTCTGGTATTTTTCTGGGCACCTCCTCAGTGCTTAGGAAATGGCCTAGGCAGAAAACTGGAAGACTATGGCAAATGGCAGAGGGAAGGCTCCTTCCAGTTGTTTCATTTCTGGAACTCTTAACAATAAAACTAATTTTTAAATTTAAAAAAATGGTGCTTGGAGTGCAAAATAAGTCAAAAAGTAAAATACAATTTGGGCTCTATAGGTCTGTGTACTATCGTGTAGATTACCAAGCATTGTCATAGACACACACACAGAATCGCTGAACTGGAAATTTAAAGATGACAAGACTGGTGCCCCCAGGCAAGGTGACTCATTCTCGGTCATAGGAGGTGTTAGTGGAAGAAATTAATTCATACTGAACAGGAAAATAGGCACCTTTGGAAGTGCCTAACGTTTAAGAGACCCTGATTTTGTAACGAACCAGAGATGAGATTAAAGTAAGATATTGTCCTACATTTGGAGGGATTTTGTTTCACTCTAATTTGAAGACAAATCCAGAACCACCAGCTCAGCCTGACCCAGTTTTCCCTCTCTGCAGCTTCTCACACTGAGACCACTCTCTCCCTCTGGAACTGTATGTACTCTTCCGGGTTTCCCTGACACTTCTATCCTTCCAACGTCTCCACCTCTTCTCTCTCTGCCTTGTTTTGGGGCTTCTCTTCCTCCAAACTGTGCTACAACCTATCAGGATCTCTTCTCAAATTTTGGTGACCCATCCCTTGCAGGGTTTCCATTTTCAACTCGAAACTGTAGTCTCTGCTTCAGCTCCCTTATTTCTTCCTGATGGCCAGCTTCCTTTTCCGTTGCCTGAAGGGTTCTCATGGCCACTTCCAACCCAAAGGACCACCACCCCCTGGAAACCAGGTTCTCTTCCTTCCCTCAGATGGTTATTACTCTTGCCATATCAGTTTATTGCCTATCCCAGGCCTTCTCACTGCTTTATTATTCCTCCTTCTCCTCACTCTCAGAGCCTCCTCACTAATATGTCTGTATAACCTTCCTGCTTCCATATCCTCCTCCACCCAGCTGCTTTGCTTCCTAAAGTGTGATGCTATCACTCTTTAAATGGCTCCCTGCTGCCTACTGGGGAAAGTCCACACTTAAATACAATCTTGACCAAACCCAGTTCTCCAGCCTCATCTCCCACTAAAACCCAACAGAACTTCCCGTTTCCCCACAGGAATTTTGTTAGTCTCAACAAGACTTCTCCTACTACCCCGGGAGTCATTCCCACTTTCCCATTCTGCACATGTGCTCAAGATATCCCCGCTGCCTGTAATGTCTCTTCCCTTGCAACTTGTCAAATTCCTACCCTTCCTTCAAGGACTTACTCAAATGCCACTTCCTCTGAGAAAACCCACCTGGGTGTGTGATGTCTCTCTTCTCAAGCCCCTCTAACACTTTGGATCTTTCTTGTGACATTTGTACCATTCTGCCTAGCATCACAGTTTTGTTTACCCTCGCCTGAGCCATTCTCTCTCTCTCTCTCCTAGTTAGATATTCTCTGAAGGTTGGGATTATGCCTCAGCCATCTTTGGAGTCCCAAGTACTCCTCACTGCACTATAAGGTTTCTGTCTCCCCAGAGAGGTCAGCTACGCCCATGAGCCAAGGGAGACATAAGTAACAGTATGTCATCGTTGGCTGGTACTTGTACCATCTCTCACTTTTGGGGTATTTACAGTGTTGTTGTTTTTTCTGGTGTTCATAGAAATCATTACTAAATTACTTGTAATTGCTCTTTTCAAACAGACCTCTACCCCAGGGACCAAATTGGGGCTAAAGGCCTCTGGTTATGCTCCCATGTTTACCATCGGGCAATGGTAGGAAATCAAAGTACAGAAAATCTACAGCTTCCCAAATGCAGTGACTCATCATATCACACCACATTAGCCAGTGTGATCAGGAGCTAGGCTCTCAGGCACACTTCATAAACAAGACGTCCAGGACTCCATAAACTAATGGTGCCCAGGAAAAGAGATACTTCTCCTCCAGTACCTGGCCCGTTACAGTTGGATGGACAGATGGATGGATGGATGGATGGCAGGTAAAGAAATTTATTTTAGAGTCCTACTCAGAGAACTATTGTGACTCCTCTACTTGCCTTTAATTTAAAAGTGAAAAATATGAATTAAATTCAATAGATATTATCCAATTCCTGGAGCAGGAGTTTTTCAAAGAGAAACACTTAGAGTCTCCCAGATGATAATGCACACAATTTTGGAACTGGGAAACAGAAATTGATACATGAATCTCCCCACATGAATCTCCTGTACAATCAAGTTTGAAAAGTACTCTTTGGTGGCAAGAACTTAAGGAGACATTATTCTCCCCTCCTGTAGGATGACAGAGAATTCTATTCTGTGTGGCTAAAACAAGTGAAAATTATAAATGATGCTTCATCAAAGTAAAGTGTCCAAAAACAGTAAAAAGTGCCATGAAAATCTTTGTGGTCAATCATTCCCTCCAAATAGATTCTTGGACAAAATAAAAAGTGGACAGGGAATGATCAACCTAGAATTGATTGAGTTAAAGTAAGTGCTCCATCTTGACTAGGGGAAAATTTTTTTATTGGTTTCAACTTTGCTAAATTCTAGAAAGTCAAACCATTAGTATTTTAGTATTAGTATTTTTTTTAGAGTAAGTGCAGACAGTGCCAGGTCCTTTATAAACAATAACTCATATGGTATCCCAGTAACCCCCCCATAAGAAAACAAATAAACTGAGACTCAGAGAAATTTGCCAAGGATTTTTCAGCTCTAATCTGGCCAACCAGGAGTTCAAGTTTAGTCTGACAATAAAGGCAGAATTTTCTCCATTATCCATTCTTTCCAAAACTTGCCAAATCAGAAAAATTGCCCTGAGTACTTGTTAAAATGTATAGATCATTTTCTCTCTCCTCTGCAGACGGCTTCAGAAGGCAAAACTAGGAAACATCACAGTTCAAGGCCACATTGTCACTAACACACTGTTTTATTCTTTAAGACATACCCTTCTAGAATTTGCTGTAATTATAATACGTGTATTCAGCTACCGATCAACCAACCAATCCTTTCCTTCTTACTTCTAAGAAAGGTGTATTCTGTTAA